CCGTTGGAAGGCGGACGAGTTGTTTTTCCTGGGGGATTTCACGGTGGTCGAAGACACGCATCAACATCCACTACTAAAGCACGTACCATCCCCCAAGAAACTAACATGTAAAAAATTTTTACGACAAGGTTTACTTATGAACTTCGACGCGTGCGGAATATACTGTATATTATGTTTACGGTTCTCCTTACTTGTATAAGTATAGCAATTTACATATGGAAATTTTTTAAGCAATTATGGTACATGCAATTCCTTTTTCGGGGACGAAAATTTAAGTGGGAGAAGAAGGTTACAGAAGAGTGTTAGGGAAGAGCGTTATTTTAGTGGATTGTTTCACGTTTTTCGTTAAATTAGGATTAAGCTAACTGCATGGCTTTCAAACACCCCAACGGTTTCAGATTTTAATAAAATCGCTCAATGAAGGAAGTTATAAGTCATTTGCCCAGTTTGCCATCGCTAAATTTTGTTGGTTTCTAATAACTGTAATGTTACAGTGTTGGCCCATTTTAAATTATACCTGTTGATTGTTTAATATTTTTAATTTTCATGGTGTTCTGCAAGTTTGGTTTCGTTTCAGCATTGTATTATAACATCATATCGGTGTTGCTTTTATAATCCCAGCCTTTGTCGTAAGTGAAAGAAACAGCTATTCAGGCTGGCATATAGCCGGTGAAATTAAAAACGGTTATTCATGCATGCATGGCATGTTACCAGAAATCGTTTTGAACGAAAATAATAGTAATATTTCAAAACACTAGTTCTTTTTGGCGTGCCAACTGCGATATATACAAAATCATACCCTTTTGCACTTTTTCTTATTTTATGATGTGTTTACTGGTATTTGTGCGTTTAAAAGGACGAACAGTCAAATCATGATTGCGCGACTACTAATGCAACCTGGGGGAAATGAAAGCAAATGTTACTGAATGATTTCGTTTTAGCATAAGAGCCAAAATTATCAAAAAATTAATTAACCTGCAGATTTAACGATAATTGATACATTTAATTAAAAGTGCATTGAAACCGAAAGAAATATATCGAATTTTTGAATGCATGCAGTTGTTTGAAAAACGCTGCGCAAAACGCTTGAACCACATTCCCATTATTAGAACCTGGTGTTCAGAACATCGTCTAGATTTGTCTTTCAAGTTTCGTTCTCGAAAGAAACACGGTTAATATTTGTGATTCATTTTTATTATCTACATAGAGGTGTCTGCTCTCTAGAGGAGTCTGCGCGGGGCATGCCCCCTACCCCCGAAAATTTTGGATTTTGAAGCTCAGATAAGCTATTTCCAGCATTTTGAGGAGTTTTCCAACAAGAAATTAAATCTTACACTAGTCCCTGATTTTCACCCCCCCTCTCAAAAGTTAAATGGTCGGCCGCTAATGCTACATGTATAACAATAGCAAATTGTAACCAGAGCAGGTAAGCCGCAAACATCTGTTATCTGTTATCATTCTGGTTATAATTTGCTATTGTTATGCATGTAGCATCAGCAGGATTATAACTGCTACCGCAAGAACCACCGGCTACCTATGGTTAGCATTTTTTCCATCCAGCAAACCTCCCTATATATGACGTCAGGTTAGTTTGCTGGATGGAAAATAGTGTAACCAGTAACTATATACGACGCCATATCTGAACTAGACCGGATACTGATGCATAGAGGATATTAGACGGTTGCGTTGAGATATGGATTTTATGTTCAAGCTAGTGGCAAATACAATATCGCGAACGAGTGAGATGTTGTTTTTGACACGAGAACATCAATCCTTATCTACAGGGGCGCCAGAGCCAGCCGCCCTAACTGTGCGATGGCAGTGCGAAGGCAAGTGGTTGCCCCTTTAATAATAAATGCATGTTTCACTTGGAATAATTTTGAAATCAGATGTTTAATCTTTATCTTCTAAAAAAGTAATTTTTAGCAGTCAAAAGAACACGTGAAAAACTACACTCAAAACTGAAGATCAAACAGCTTGGTTACCTCACTAACATACCGCCGAAGTTATTCTTAAAATCAGCCTAAAATACTTGTATATATTTCAAATACAAAGTAAATTGTAGCTTGTTTGTTTGTGGATGTATATGTGCAGGAATGTGCAGTGACTGTTTAATGTGATGTCGCAGCAAAACGTAAGCTTATACGGTCAGTTGCACTAATTACTACGGACAAAATACAATATACAATACAACATAATACTAATGTATTCTTAATATGTACTTGTAACATAAGATATGTATTTTTATCTTTTGATCTATTAAAAAGACTTTTGAAAAAAAAAAAAAAAAGACTTTTGAAAAGTTTTGACATCAACTGCCAGGGTCACAAGTACCCGTCCAAACGACGGGTGGACGGGCCTCTGGTCAAGCCTGAATGTATCCAGCTTCTTGTGATATTCCATCCAAGATACGCAACCTCATTAAGTCAGTTTTTAGTTTGTTTAACTTCTTTGCCTCTACTGTAAATAATTAAGAAGCCCTGAACCGTGATAGTTAGTTCACTCGGGTTTTTTTCGCAAGCAAAGTGTCAAAGAAGCAAGGATTACATATTAGAGTTATCGATTTCTTTATAGTACAGTGGTACAATCGGTTATTGTCGGTTTATTATTCCTTGATCTTATTGTATATCAATTTAGTTTACTCTACATTATTGTGCAAGTATATTTGAATGAACTGTGCATGTATTTGCGCTTGCTATTGTAACAATATTTCGCGCTCTTTCTGTTTCGCCTTGCACAATGTTCGTGACCTACATGTTATAATCTACTCAATTTATTCATAATTCTATTAAAAATCTGATCTAGTGTACAATGTATAAAAATATTTGGCTACAAACTGTGAGACTTCTCCAGCTACCAAAATATCCCACCCATGCATATACTTAAAACTTTCACTGTTTTTTGTATTTTACGTGACGTTTATTAATTCTCAAAATTATGTCAAATCTCTGCCCAAAACGCATGAAATGGCATTTCAGAGACTCTAGATATAGAGCGGCGGGGGAGGATGCCCCTGGATACCCTACGAGGTCTCGTATCTTCGGCGATCGACTGCTCTTTTCAAGATTCTGCCCGCGCCGCTTTTCAGTCCTTCCGGCGCCCCTGCGTCGTTGGTTCATATGAGGCCCCCCAAGCGCTCCGTTTTCATTTCGCTCCGTTTAGAAACCGTGCTCGAATTGTTATGGCAAAATTGACGTTTTCAAACTATTTTGCTCTGTCGAAGTGTGAAGGCGACGGCTTATTGTGAATTTTCCACGCCGTTTTCAAACCGCTCCAACGTATAGCGTCAACGTGGTCTTATAGTAACACTGTGAATCCTACCAAGGTTAGTCCGGATGGAAAGAACAATGTTTCTCCCCAGAACAATGTTCGATTACCTATTCATTATCGTTGGAAAATTTGCACGGCGAAAAATTATTTTGGTCTTCGTAAGAAAATAAGTTAGTTGAAGCGTAGCCATTTAATGCCTCAATTATGGAACCGAATCTAGGTTAATAGCCAGACAGATGAATTATCTCATGTAAACACGAAGTGAGAACCAGCCCTACTGGGCCGGAGTAGTATGCAAAACAATTAAATATAAGTTCTATATCTCGCTGTCGTTTCCTAGGCAGAAGAGGCAATGTTGGCCATCACCAATTAAGTGTTGTGAAACTGGGGAAGGAAATCTACTCGATCTAGCTGTGAAGGTTATTCAGATTTGTAATGTTTAATTCGGACGATTATCAGAATCGAACCTTGCCGGCATTGCTGTTGTTTTGTTTTCAACATCAGGAATCCCAGGGGTAGTTGCTGTCTGTAGTTGTAAATAAGGCTGAACGGCATTTAACAAACTGCAACTCAGATTCAAACCTATCAAATGCTTTTGACAAATACGCCGTTTAACCTGAGCATGCACTGTCGGCAACGATTTTCTCGAGTTTTCGTTCTAGTTAAAAAGCCCTCTAGTTTATTTTTCCTGTATATGTCACACAGTCCGTTCACGATGTTTTGAGTCCTGGTGGGCGACGCTATTGCCGAATTTAGGGATCTCAGCAAGAAGCATTGGACTTCTCGCAGTGGCTGTACTTCAACACAAGACTCGCGGGTTCAGTGGCGTGCTGGCAGGGGGGGCCGGGGGGCCACGGCCCCCCCAGCTGGCAATTTTTGAGGGGCGCAAAAATGAAAAGGGGGCGCCGATCCCGCGCCGAATTTTGAAAGTAGGTGGGAAGAAACGCATTCGTAGAAATATAGTTACTAATTCCGCCAAGGAAAGATGTGTTTATTTACTTATAAACAGACTAAGCGTATAGGCGACAAAGTGAGTGAGTATATTAAATTGCAGACTATTTTGTCTAACCGTATTTGCTACCTCACGACTCACACGAAATCACTCGTTCATATAGAAACATGATAAGTGATCACACGCAATGTCTCATTACCGGAATATTGATCAGGCTTCGAAGCGATCACGGGAATCATGCATATGCGTGGGTCCGTTTGTTATTGTATAAAAGAGCTGTAAGTTGTAAATGAATTCAGATCAGTAGAGAATAAAAATGGGATTAGATTAATTGCTGGAAGTAGTTAGCATTGCCCAATTTAAGTGCTACTACTAAATTCTAACCAATTTTCAAATTTCGACACGTTGTAATGCCGTTTCCTGACCATCAGATTTCTGTCAAATCTTCCCCCAAAGTACAGGAAATGGCATTTCAGAGACTCTAAATTCAAAACTTTTTCCGGGGGGCATGCCCCCGGACCACCCTAGACAAACCTCGCACCTGTGGCGCTCGGCTCGTGCCTTCGGCCATCGTTTATCAAGGGTAATATTATAGGGGCGCATATTAGTTGCCAGCCGACTGGCCCCCCCAGAAAAATAGTACCCCGCACGCCACTGCGCGGGTTTCTTTCGAAAATACATGATGAAAGATGTATATGTACTGTATGTCATTATTTATATGATTTTACTGTTATAGGCAGCAAGGGTCAGGTGCACTGTTGGGGAAATAACGTTTGCGATGGAAAAGGTAGATATTTGTAGAATTTTTGAATTTAAGACGGTCGTTGTACGGAGTAAATGAGGTGCTTTTTCTTTAATTCTCCAGGTCTTTGGAAGACATGTAGCCAGTGATCGTATGGTCAGCGGTGCTTACAAATCCGAGTACGGAGATTCAGATGAAATCACGCAATGTCTGAATGAGGTCGCGGTCAGTTGCACGTATATGTATATTCGTGTACTTATAATAGACGTGAACAAGAATAGTACACAGATTTCGTATGCTGTCAAAGAAAAGTTTAGAAGGCTATGTTGCGTATTTGCAACGAAAAGTTAAAATAATTTTGACGTACCTTTCAAAATGACTATGTTTTATCGGGGTTTTTTCTAGTTTATAGTGTTAGCTAACTAATTGTCAATGCATCTGACGGTTCGAAAACATAAAATAACATTGCAAAAAATTGTCAATTTTAATCCAACAATTCTCAATGATTTTTCAAATTACACTCCAAAATTTTCTCTGGCGTGCAATTTTAAATATGAATCTTCATTTTAGCATTTTTTATTGCATTTTTTATATGATTTGTTTGACGACTGCGAAATGTATATAAGAAATGTGTATAAAAAATGGGGACGAAGTGCCATGATGCTATATATTCGCTAGTTTGTAGTGCGTGAGTAGCGTAACATACAAAGAACACATTTCAATTTCGTTTTTTTCATAATTTTCAGAAGGGCATGTGTGTATAGCGTTAAAAAATCAAACCAAAACATGATACAATCTTAAAACAAAAAATCGTAATTTACGATATGTGTACCCCTTCTGTCCCAATATAGCCCCTTTCCTACCGTATGTAAGCCCGTGGAAAGGTGCTCATCAACGAACAATGCCCAGCACTAATATTCGTAGAAATTTCTCCTCCTATATAGAAATTTGTAGAGGCTGAAGGACGTCGACCTCGTATTCTTGTTGCCAAGATGGGTCAAGATGGCCATGATAGGGGAGCTAAAGTGATTGCAACTAGTTTTGCCGACTTAGGATTTGATGTTGACATCGGGCCACTATTTCAGGTTTGTTGCGCTCTACTTTAGTGGGTGATATCGATTAAATGACTGAAACGAGAAATTTGTTAGAAAATATCGCTTTATTCCATGATGACTTCCGCCCCGCCCTCCATTTTTAAGCGAAGTTACCATGCAGTCCTCGAAATTCTCCACAGTGTTTCAAGGAAACATTTCAGCTTGCCCTCGCTCGACACGCTCATGAGAGTAGCAAAAACGAATTTCTTGAAAAATAGCTTTTCGTACAGAGGAGCAGCATATTGGGACAACATCCCAATAAACGTGTTGAAAACCCTAAGAGAGTCAACAAATTTAAAATCGGTCCATCATCTATTAAATAATCACATCTTGTAAATAAGTAAATAAGTATATTTTGTAAATAAGTATGATTTAGTTTATTAGTTCCGCACGGCCCTTTGAAAATCACCTATGTGAAAGGTTACCGTGTTTAAAGATCGTTAATAATAATAATAATTATCATCTGATCTACGCATGCTTAACCATGGCCAGAAATTGCGAACATGGATTCTGAGCATGTGCGAACTTTGACAAACAAAATGGCGGATTTGTTATATATAAATAGCTATGTCATTTGCAGACTTTGCGGTAATATAAACTATATCTGGGCCGTAAACCAGAACAGTTTCGCATCAAAATCTTACCTATAAGCTGTTCCCATTATTGAAGTTCACTTCATAGTACATCGGCGTACAATAAAGTATAGTAAAACTTGAGAAAATCGTTGAAAACGTTCATTATCCGCATGTATCCCTCGAATCCTTCATGAAATTTGCAGACTTCTCGTCATAAAATATATGTTTTCGCCTGCTTGTCTGCATAATTTCATAGTGATACGAATTTTTTAACTTGTTCCAATTTATGGGATTAAATGTTGATATTTTACCCATAAATACCCTGTCCTTCCAGTGTGGGTTACACAGGAGGATAGCAATGTATTCACAAAATATTTTAGTCGTTTACAATGGCATCACTTTTTATCCCATATATAATAAATGAAAGGTATTTAAAAGGCCGACATACCTAATATATTTATTTTTCTTTTTTAGTTAAACAAAAAACTAAGCAAAACGTATTCTTTTTAGTTAAAACGTGCGTTTGTTAGGTATGAATAACTTTTCATAAGAAAAACCGGTGAGATATATTTCGGGCGCATGTGCTGAATTTCTGGCCATGTCTTCAGCATCACGGTTGTCCTACCATGAAAGAGAAAGTAGAACGCTGTACATGAAATTAAATATGTCCAACATGCAGAGTGCTTGATAGGTCTGACCGTGCATGTTTTCCGTTGTTAACGTTATACATATACAATATGGTATTTATTTTGTGCAGACTCCTGAAGAAGTTGCTCAACAAGCTTGTGATGCTGATGTTCATGTGGTTGGAATTAGTACCCAGGCTGCTGGACATAGAACTCTTGTCCCTCAACTGGTAGAAGCCTTGAAAGCAAAGGACAAAAGGTCTGTCTAAAGTTCTCATTGTGAAATACAAATTGCCAGAAACAGTCAAATATTATCCAACATTCAATTTATCTTGAGGTTCACTAACGAATTTATCTGAACGTTTTCCCAGAGATATTCAACTTTTTGAAACATGTACATGTAAATAAGCTTAGGACGTGACTGAAGTTGCCTGCCAACTATTCAAAGAAGCGCCAGAAAGCAATATTAAATGTTCAAGTTATATATGTTAGAGATGATGACAGTACCACACTTTCAGAACTTGTGAAGCAAACCCCCTAAAAGTCCAAACATATTCTGACATCATCCACATAAAAATATCTCTATCTACACATCTATACAATCTGAGCCGACGAAATATATTGCCTAACTGTTCTTTCACAGAAAGTAATCAACTATCTTGTTAAATGTTTTTCATAGCTGAGTATCTTTGTTCTGATGAACACAGTAGATTAATGCACGGTTTCGTCCACGTATTGACCTTTATGCACCACGGGAGAAACGAGCGTGTTTTGATACCTTAATTTCGTCATTTCGCGGGCGCAATAAAGTTTCAAAATGATTTCCTGAAGGAGCATCACCGACGAAAAAGATTACCTCATTTGGTTGCTGTTTATCTTTTCTCAATGCATGTACTGCCAAAATTTTTAACGTCATATATTTACTCCATCAAACATATGGATGTATTTAATATGATTCAAGATAGGCCGTTTGCTGCATCCCGATATCGTTCACTTTCATTTCCCATGTCTTGGAATTGAAATATTTTTACGGGAACTTACACTTTCGAACATGCTGAGTTCAAATCCGAAAAGTTCCCACTCTAGAGACCCGCAGTTTTTTTCATCAACTGCTATATAATCTTCACTAATTTCACGACAAAGTTTTTCATTGTTCACCAACACGGATGGATGACCACACACGATTATGTCACTCAAAAGAACCAATTTCTATTAACAAATCTTCCTTTTAACAATAGACCGTTTTCCTCGAATTATTTTGGGTTATGTAATCTTATGCGTGTTGGACGTACACAACATATATTGTCTACAATTTTGAGAAGGTATTGTACAGATAACGCTTTCTAGAATCTTCAGTTCCAGTGATATCTCTCTAAAATCACAAGGTCGTTAATGCTAAGTGTAGGCTATGTCACTGTCCTGAAAAATAACTCTTTTAACGCGATCAAGGTATTTAAAACAAAACTAACGCGAAGCCAACGTGACGGAAAAGACAACGCTACAATGAAATATTGTCGTTGGCTTGGTTGTAGAAGACTTATGACAGGATCAATCTTAAATAACCTTAAACTGTAGATAAATAAATGTTCACATCAACTGAACAAAGATCAGTGCCAAAGTATAAAATCTGCTCTGTAAACTTACGACGAAGTGGAGAAATGTGTGCTTGAGCTGTTTATTTGGTGATTTCAACGTATATGGTAGCCCTATTCCCAATAATATTCGCTTATCGCGCAGAATAACACCAACTGATATAATAGTTCAAATGCAATGATAAGTTACCTCTTGAATTACGTCTCAGAAACTGTGTTGGAAATTTGAATGCTGACCCGTTACATAAGATTACCGTTTTACATCATGGTATAAAACATTTTGATCGCATGTAAGGAATTATTTCTTAGCCCAAAGACTTCACCTTAACGTCCTTGTGATTTTATAGAGATAGAGCCAGAACTGAGGATTTTATAGAAAGCGATATCGGCACCTTCCCAAAGTTGTAGACAAGATATGTTGTTTACGTCCAACGCGCTTAAAATTACATAACTCGAAATAATCCAAGCAAAACGGTCTTTTGTTAAATGTAGAGACTGGTTCACAGGAATGATTCATGTTGAGTTGTGCAATCGTGTGTCTTCATCCATCCGTGTCGTTGAACAATGAAAAAATTTGTCGTGAAATTAGTGAAGATAAAATAGCAGTTTGTGAGAAAACTGCAGGTCTATGGAGCGGGAAATTTCCAATTTGAACTCAGCGTGTTTGAAAGTGTTAGTTACCGTAAAAATATTTTAGTTCCAAGGGATGGGAAATGAAAATCGTTTTCTAGCCACTTTTCGAGGTCACAGCAAACGGCCTGAGACAGAATAAAACGTAATCAGCATTAATGTTAACCTGTCTAACTGCAAAGCATTGTGCTTAATGTATACCGAGGAATTAGGACACCAATAATTTCTTTTAAAACCTGACATTAATTATTTACAGCAATATACTCGTGGTTTGTGGTGGAGTAATTCCGCCGCAAGATTATGATTTTCTCTTTGAGAAAGGCGTTGCTGCTGTTTTCGGGCGAGGTATGTTTTGACGTTAATTTGATCTTTTGAATTGTTCACAAGCTGTGTAAATCGAACAGTGGTTTGAGTGACACCTTTCGCCTCCAACACAGTCAAATTGCAATCACACAGGCAAATTGCAAGCATTGGCATCACAGGTCTTATTCTGACTCCAACTCTCGAAAAATATCTCAAGAAATATTTTTCGGATTGAGGGTGTAACAGACACTACCGTTACCGTTACCATTAAAGTGCTACTGCAGCGAATTTTTGGACCTAGTTTTTTTGGGCTTAAATAAAAATTCAGTCTTTTAGAAGCATTTTCGTATATATTTGACCATCATGCGATGCTTAGAAGTTGCCAAAATTAACCTCTGAAGTTGGTTATGCCGTGCGAACTTTTCCGCCGCCACATTGATGCCGTGTGACGTCATAAGATGAACGGAAACGAATATATGAATCACGGGCAATAGGACAGGTGTAGTGTTGTTAAATAGAAAGTTAGAAATGGTATTGTACTTACTCATGTATTATATTTATGTTTAAAAGATCAGAATATTCATAACTTCTTATTTTGTTTCATAAATAGTTCTTTAATATTCGAAACAAATTCCATATCTGCTTCGTCTGCCATCGCCATGTTTACTCGCCCCAATCTACATGCTGCACGGCATTGCCGCCCCTCCTGGCAAAATAATAAGCAAGCGAGAAAAATTAAGGAGAAAATAAGAGGGTAGGAACATTGTGGGCGTTTCGTGGGCGTGTCATCGTTCTGGGCGAATCGGCTTTCGCAATCTTGTATCACATGACTAATTCAAATCGTCATAGGCGGGAAGCAGCATTACGTCATCCCTACGCCAAATAAAACGTTATAAAACGCGTCGAGGATACGTTTGTGCCATATAT